ATCATAAATATTGTAAAATGATTGGGATGTCTTTTAGGAAAATTCTTGTGTTGTGAAGCAAGCCTCATTCACCTTCCAAATACACCCATATCTTGTGCAAGATACATTACTTTTCTTTCAAAGACTTGATATTTCTATTCAAAAATAAAATAATAATCAGAAAAAATGATGAATCCAGTAATCATGTGAGAAATGTGTCAATAAAGGAAAGAAAATGCTATTTATAGACCCAAAAAACAGGTGAAGTTTGTGTTTTGATCACTAATGGGAAAGGTAAGGAGACGTAATTAGAGCCTTCATTAATGTTACTTTGTTATTGAAGAGAATTTTCTCTATTTATTGAAGAAGTGAGTTGATAAAATCTTTCTCACTATAATGTTATATACCTACATATATATTCTATTATATATCCATAATAGAAGAATACAACTCTATATAAACAAATAGATGCCAAAATTTAATGTACTAAAAGTAAACAACTACAGCCCTGTGCCAGTGGCTCATGCCTATAATCCTAGCTACTTGGGAGGCTGAGATCTGGGGATCACGGTTCAAAGCCAACCCAGGCAGGAAAGTCTGTGAGACTCTTATCTCCAATTAAGCACCAGAAAACCAGAAGTGGTGCTGGGGCTCACCTGGTAGAGTGCTCACCTTGAGCTGAAGAGCTCAGGGACAGCTCTCAGGGTCAGAGTTCAAGCCCCATGACTGACAAAAAATAAATAACTAAATTCATAAACATCTGCTAATTGTCAATGCTCACTTAGAAGACAGCACAGAATACTTCATGTGTATTTGTAGTGGATTACATGAGTAGGGTATCATGACTATTGTCAATCAGTAAATATGCAAAATGTGCATTTACTGGTGACAACTTGTTTAGTGTACCAATAATGTCTGGAAATACTAAAGAACAAAAAAACAGAAAAAGAAGGGAAAAGGTTTGGGATTTATGTCTGTAATACCAGCACTAAGGATGCAGATAAAGGAAGATCACAAGTTTGAAGCCAATCTCTGTTTCATTGCAAGTTTCAGGCCACGCTGAGTTACACCAAGAGACCTGGTGGAAAGAAGAAAGAAAGAAAGAAAGAGAGAGAGAGAGAGAGAGAGAGAGAGAGAGAGAGAGAGAGAGAGAGAGAGAGAGAGAGAGAGAGAAGAGAGAGAGAGGGAGGGAGAGAGGGAGGGAGGGAGGGAGGGAAGGAGGGAGGAAGGGAGGGAGGGAGGGAGGGAGGGAGGGAGAGAGAGAAAGAGAAAGAGAGAGAAAGAGAGAAAGAGAAAGAGAAAAAGAGAGAAAGAGAGAAAAAAGAAAGAGAAAGAAAGAAAGAGAAAGAGGAGAAAAAAGAGAGAAACTAGTGGGAAAACAACAAATGTGATATTCATATACACATAATCAGTAAGCCAAACACACAGAAAACACCTCTGTTTTCTGTTGTAGAACATTCCTTTGATCATGGCTCTTTTTAACTAATAGTTCAAAAGGTAGCCTTACAGAGTTGGATTAATATCAGAAACCACATTTCCAGCCAGGTTTCTCTCGACAAGAATAATTGTTGAAACAAGTAGAAATGCAAACCTTGCAATGCTTTTCTAAAGCTTAAAATAAATTTTAGAGCACAAGTGTCTGGAATTTAAATGGGATATGTTCTCAGTTCCTAGGAGATTCAAGTGTCCTTGTTTCTGTTTCAAGACATGGTCATTGAGCAAATGCTCAAGTATCTTGAGTGAAAAACAAACACGCCTAAATAAAATAATGCCTGTGTCCTCAAAGTTTTTTTTTAAATTGTTTTAATTGTGAAAATACCGTACAGAGGGGTTTCAATTACATGGCTAAGAAAATGTGTACATTTCTTATCAAGCATTGCAGCCTCCTCCTTTGTTTCCCCTTCCTATCCCTTCTCCTCTCTCAGCCTCCTCCCCTCCCTCCTGCCACCCCCCCCCCCTCACCTCCCTCCCCCGCCCTCCCAACACACCGCAAAGTTGTAAAGTTCGTTTTTCGACATAAGGACTTTTTTTGTGTGTGTGACAATACCGTACAGTGGAGTTAGAATTACATGGGCAAGATAACGAGTACATTTCCTATCAAGCATTGTTGACTCCTCTTTGTTTCCCCTTCTCATCCCTTCCCATACTCTCCCTACCTCCCCCCACCCAATCCTCCCCCCCACAAAGTTGTTAAGTTCGTTTTTCGACATAATGACTTGTACATCTCGTTGTTGCAATGGGTCCACCTGTATCCCTAGTTAAACGATTTGTTTTTTCCCTTCCCCTTTACAAATTATACCAACATCAAATACAGTGAAAGCAGGGGTTATACTGTGGGGGAGGGACATACAAAGCAACATAGAAATCATCTTATAAATATGTTAGAAACAATCGCATGAAAGAAAAAATTTAAATACTTACCTTGGGGTTCATTCCCCTAACATCAACTTATCTGACCTTTTCTGCTTGTCTTGGACATAAACTAGTTATTGCAAGGAAGGGAAACCATGAGACCTATGTTTCTTTGGGTCTGGCTTACTTCACTTAATATAATTTTTTCCAAGTCTTTCCATTTCCTAACAAATGGGGCAATGACATTCTTTCTGATGGAGGCATAGAATTCCATTGTGTATATATACCACATTTTCTTGATCCATTCATCTACTGAGGGGCATCTGGGTTGGTTCCATATCTTAACTATGGTAAATAATGCTGCAATAAACATAGTTGTGTTGGTAGCTTTGTATGCCCCTGTTTGTGAACATTCGGGTAAATGCCCAAAAGTGGGATTTCTGGGTCAAAGGGGAGCTCTATGTAGAGTCTTTTGAGGAACCTCCATACTGCTTTCCAAAGTGGTTGAACAAGTTTTTGTTTTTAAATGCTTTTTTACTTTTTATCCACTTCCCGCATTGTGAAAAGACAATTTTCTGATAATGCTTCTCTTTTGTTTCTCCTCCTTAGTCAACAAACCTCAGTAGAAATATTTGGATTTATACTTACCAGCTACTAAACTTGTTCATGTTTTGTTTCCCTCTTGTTTTTTTAATTTTATTTCATAGTTCCAAAGGTATCAAAAACAAAAGAATTCATAAGTTAGAACTACAGTGGTGAAGATTTTTCATTTAATATTCCATACTCTATTAATTCATAAACATCAGAGTTCACTTATTTTTAAATTCAAATCTATGACTGTCTGAGAATTCATAAAAAAAAGTAACCAAAAACTGAAATACTTTTTTGTGTGTGTGAGAAGAAATCCAAGGACCAGGGTGTCCTATGTCAATAGAAAGATGCTTACATTTGAGCTAAGGGAACTTACACAGCTTCATCTCTAGTGAATTTAAATGCTGTTATTAAATACTATGAAGAAAACTTTAAAAAGTGCTTCTTCAAGGCACTAAAATGTAATTCAAATTTCATTGTGACAGGCATTATTTCAACTATTATGTTTCCTAAGTAAAATGTACTCTAAAATTGTATGCTCCTATTTGATAAGCAGACAAAAATAACAAATAAAATTTAACTTGCTTTCTGAGTAAATCTGATATTTCTAACTTTTAATACAAAAATTAAATCGATTATATTATGTTAGAGCTAATCTGCACATATGCTATTCTCTAACACACTAATTTTCTTAGTCTTAACTTTATAATTCCCCAAAGCAACGATTTTTTTCTTTAAAGATAAAATGTGCTCTGATGTAGAGAAATGGACTTCTTTCCAATTTTCCAACATCATATCACAGTCATGATCAAAGGTTGAAAAGCATACACCGCAGTTCCTGCCTGTCTGTGCCTTTTTTATCAGTTTATTTTCTCATGCTCAGCCACGTTACAAAAATATGAATGGAACATTCTAGAAAATAATCAGCTCATAAACTCCCAACAGTTACTGTGAGTGTTAGGATGACGTGATGAGACCCCAGTCCTGCCTTCTTGTGATATGATTCGCCCCTTCCCTCAGTGAGCCACAGTGTGTTATGTCGGCCCCAGTAGATGCGAGGAGGAGAGAGGGGAGAGACAGAGACAGAGAAATCACCTTTTAGTAACATGTACTTTAGACTGTTATAATTCTATCAACTATGTTTCTGGTACCTAACATAAATTAAAATCCTGGGTATACACGCATAGGAAAGGCATAGCGCATGTAGGGGTTAGTGGTAGCAGCATTTTCAGGCATAAACTGGAGGTCTTGGGAGATTTCTCCATTGATAAACAGAAACCACTGTAAGACTTTTGTTGATATCTGTACTCTTCTAAATGCACATATTTGTTATCTTGTTGCTGTGCTGAGAATTAATAAACACTGGGAAATCTGAAACAATCATTCTGTAGGATTTAGCTAGGAAATGCTTTTCATCATGATTCAGAACTACTTTTTAAAAAATGAGACATTTTCTAGATGTCCTTTCAATGACTGCAAGTATGTCTAGTGGAACTCTAGAAAAATTTTTATGTTACAAGTTATAGTGCCACCTAAGTGAACACAAAAACAATGCAATTTCTTGGGCTTGTAAAAAAGTAGTAGTTTTGTTTATAACTATATGATTACTTTAAAATTGTCATCATTTCCAGCTTGGCCATAAGAAATTAGATCCAATACAACCAGTCTACAGCTTTTTTTTTCTTTTCAACTATTGCTCTCACCTTTTTTGTTCAGAACAAAGAAATCATTTTCCTTCCTGAATTTCATCATTCTTTTTGTCTTTCTGTGAATTGATGAAGCACTAAAGGAAACATAAGACAACAGAAATCAGAAGAAATCGAGAAAAGCCATGTGTAAAATGAAATTCCCTGCCTCGCCCACCACCCCAGTCTCCACTCTTTGCGCACCCCTCAATTCCTTCACATTCCTGCATTGAATATCCATGCATCGTGTTTCTGGTATGTTTTGGCATGTCAAATCTCCTTAACTGAATGAGATTCTGTAGAGATGGGAGATGGATCTACTGCATTTGGAAAGGATGCACACACAAAAGAAAGAGGAACAAAACAAAACAAAACACACTGCAGAAACTAATAATAAGTACACAAAGTACACAAGTGTGTTTATTACATTTTGCAAGCACTTTGTTCTACATTTCAAAAACGCCACCATCAAGCTGTTGGCACATTTATGTACAAAACAGATTACTTGTAATGCCTGCTACAAAGCACTCTGTGAAAATACAAACTCTAATACCAGAAATAAAAGCCAGGAGAGTCAACATCGTTACATAAATTTAAAAGACAGTTTTAAAAATCATCACAAACCGTAAAGACACAGAACTGAAACGCTATAATATAGAATTTAAAGAAGCCCATTAATACTTTTGCTGAATATATTTAATACTGCATATATATCAGAAAAAATGTTGAACCATTAAGATAATCTAAGTGTAAAAAAAGCAAAGGGAACCCCCAAATTAATTAATACTACAGAATGAATAATCATGCCACAGATATAACCCCAGTAATACCCCCTACCTACTACAAGAACTTGTAAAATTACTGATGATGCATGACTAGTAGTTGTACAAAGATTGTTTCACTCAATAAATTTTATTAGAAATGTACTTACACCGAGGAAGGATTTCACAATGGTCAAATCAGTGCACAATACTATCTAGTTTTATACACTGACAAAATATCTTGTCAGGCTACATCATTTTAAAAGACACTTTTACAGCATTCTTGTAGCATTAGAAATCATCAAAAGAAGAGAGCCAAGGTTAAAACAAACACCAAATTTGGTCCAATAATACTGATTGTTTTGTCTTTAAAATTCCTCTGATACAGGTACTTCTTATAAATGAAGATGAATGAACATTCTGTTTAAATGACTTATTTGAAAAAAAAAAACACAAACATATCACTACACTGCTAAACAATACATTCTACAGTGGCCTCTGACCACATTTGAGAAAACACTACAGGTAAACCAACATAGATTAGAAGCTGCAAGCAAAGCTATATTATATTAATGGAAGCCTTTGCAAATATATCATACACGTTTTTGAAATAGTTTACAGAGATGCAATACATTAAAACTTTTAAAGTAGGTAAAACAAGTTCGGAGGGGTTAGTGTGCTTATTTTCAATATACCACCTTCATAAAGGTAATTTTCCACATTAGCATATTAAAAGTTCCAATCCAGCCACTGCATAAGTCACATAAAGATCATTCTCCCATAGTCCATGGTAGTTATTTCCATTAAAATGTCTCTACACTAAACTTGAAAAAGTAAGCCTGGTGTCACAATCTCAAAAAGGCAGCTAGCCATGCATTAGCATTACTGTTTCTACATGCTCACAACGTAAATCTGAGTAATTGGAGAGAAATACCTTTAAGTACATCAGGAAAAAAAAATACAATGTTAACAAAGATAAGAAGCACTTTTTTTTAACCTATCCTTATAAATTTAGAAATTGCACCGTAGGTTGATGAAAACATTAGCCAGGGCTTATGGTAATTTGGCCCCTGACCTCCACACAAGATTTGTCTTTCAAGAAGAGTTGTCATGATGTCATCTCTGCCTACTGTTCACGTAATGTACAATGGTCCCTTTGCAGGTTACCTGTAGTTAAACTAGTTACCGAAATCAAAACTAAAAAGTATAAAATGCTATTTTGTTTTCAAAACGTAAGAAAAAATGCAAAATAAAAAGTGTTATGTGTAACTCATGGGACGTGTGTAAAAAAACCCAACAAATCTTTGCCTTTGTCCAGATTGATATCTTTTGACCTTACAGAACTAATTCGTTTGAGAAATTTTCAAAAACTAATAAAAAAGACTGGATAGGAGCTTGTAGAAGAGATCGAATTATACCAATTTAGCCAATTTGGGAAGTAAGTGCTAAACAACAAAGAATATGTAGGTGACTCATAAGCCAGCCTCCATATCATTGATGAATAGCACTTTGATTTTGTGTTTCAAAGGTTGGATGGTTGGATGGTCCTTAGTTAAACACCAATGCATTCAAATGGTAAAGAACAGGAGAATTTATTTATGTGTATGCATTGAGTCGCTCTTTGGAGCGAGTAGAATGAATGTCATGAAGCTCTTGTTCTTCCTTCGACTTGATGTCTTCATACTTCTGCATCCGGCAGGCATCTTTCACATAAGCCCAGTTGGCGGACAGGACCATAAGGTAGTGAACCTAAGCAGAAACAAAAAAGAAATTATACTGGAGGTCTGTTCTCTGTCTAATATACTTTGTTCTCTGGAATGTTCAAATTATGTATTCATATAAAAATGTTCACAAATAAAAAGGAACAAAAATTAATAGGAACAACAGAAATATAATCTATTCCTTACTTCAATATCATAGCTCTTGATCTCATTTATGTGATGTTTCTGTCTATTCTGCCCTCATTTACCCAAGGCATGAGACTAGTTTGTATATATTTAGCTGTATTTTTATAGTCCAGACTGAAAAATATTCTCACATAGAGTTTGTGTGTTTCTGAGTGTGTCAGTGCCAGTCCTGGGACTGGAATTCAGAGTCAGAGTGCTGTCCCTGAGCTTTTTGTTTGTTTATTTGTTGGTTTGCTCAAGGTTAGCTCTACCACCTGAGGGACAGCTTCACTTCCTGCTTTTTGGAGATAAGAGTCTCATGGTCTTTCCTACATGGGATGGCTTCAACATCAATCCTCAGCTCTCAGTCTGTTAAGTAGCTACAATTACAGCCATGAGTCATCATATGTTGCCAGCTTGTACAGTTTGCTGTGAATTAATAGGAGATCGTTTTGAGTTACTGGGCAAAATAAAGTATAGTAAAAGAAATTCCAACATTAAATTATTAAGTTACTTTCTTATACAATGACTTGCTGTTTCCGTTAGATGTCTACACATTACTTTGTAATATGGATACTGCATATTTATTTAGTTAACATAACCAGAAAAGTGCTAAAAGAAGCTCCTGCTCTCTCTTGAGTCATGAAAGTCACTCAAGAAATGAAAATCCTGGTTTGACTGGAATGGATTGAGCAGTGTGACTGACTGTTTTTCTCTTTCCTCCCTTCCTTCTCAGGTATAAGAAAGCAATTCTGTCCATGATAGTTGATGGATGAATATGGAAGAGAAACTGAGTTGTCAGTTTTGTACTTTCTCTGAGTGTGAAAGAATGGACAAGAAATCTTGGTTTCAGAAAACTTCTATCAAGTCTCGGAGTATTTGTACATTAGTGACAGTTGGCATCCGTTGGAACCAACTAGACTCCATAGTAACTAGTGGCTTACCATAGTGACCTACTGGTAAATAAAAACCTACTGGGCTGAAGAGGAACTGCAGGACTCCGTTCCTGCTTTATGAAAATTAACTATGAAACACGTGACTTGAAACTACTGATCTTAATGAAAACAAAACTCTTTCCTCCATATGTGACTCAATATAGAGTTTATGTTCTTAAATAGTAAAAATAATAGAGATAAAGAAACTGATTGTTACTCAAAACAGAAATCATTTCATATTAATAGCAACCCAGAATTTACAATCCTAATGAATCCTTGAGATTACCTGTATTTCTAAATGGTCACAGTACTGAATGATTTAATCCTAGATATTTTTAATAGAATCTTACTCCTATCATAACTCCTATCATAATAGTAAAACTTATTTAGTTTATTTATTTTCCATTTCCTAATTTACCAGTTATCCTTGGCCTTTCTTCTGCACTGCCGAAATAAATGTGTTTCACAGGGCCTCAGATGAGAGTAGATGATCATCGACATAAGCCGCTATTTGGTTATTTAAATTGTAAACCCAAGTAAAGAGTCATGTGGACTTACCATAGCAATAACCGCTGCCCCAGCTCCAGCAAGAGCCACAATGAACAAGTGGAAGGTCATGTTCAGCTGAAAGAAAACCACAAAGAACCAAAACACATCACAGAGATGCACAGAAGAAAGGTGGGACTGCCACTCTTACAGTCTGTACATCCCAAGCAAAACTAAAATTTGGAAAAATTATTTATTTTGGACCAAAATATCATCACACTATCCTTTCTCCAACCATTACTTATTTATTTGTATTTATTTATTTATATGTATTTATGTATTTATTTGAAGTTTCACTTCAGGACCCACGTGGATTATATTTTTACCTTATGTTGTTCTACACATAGGCTTCAGAAACATCTTTTTGAAGCTTTATCAGTTTCTTTCAAATCCAAAGCACAAGACACTAATTCATGGGCATTGATTTTAAATAAGGCTCCGAGTCAGAATCACATTGGTAAAGGCCAGCTTCGTGCCGGTGGGTCACCAAAATACTGAGACCCAGAGGCCAAGCATTTATTTAAATTGTTGCAACAGCACTATTTTCATATAATTTCCTTATAAAGATGAGACCGTAGTTGATAATGATGGATTTTACTACTAATACTAATGTAAGGTTTATCATTTCACCCTTTATTGAGATGAGTTATCGAACAGCTGAAGTGTGTATAGTATATAGATTATCTCGTTCACAGTCATTCTCTTTTCCTTTGTACAACACCATTGTGAATAATATAGTCTCTGACAGGAAAAAGATGTTGAACTAAATATATGATATTTCTCAAGTAGCAAAATGACAGCTGAAATTCTGACAATACTAAAGACTGTGAAAACACTTACCTCGGTAGATTCACACATCCTCAGGAAATTCTCGGAGACGGTGCAGATTTTCTTTTCTTCTCCAATTGTCACAATCCCTAGAACATGTGGATGTTAACAGTTAGCACCATCACCATCTTCAAGAACCCAGAAAGAATAACTCTGGGCCATTTCATTCTCAGCATGTTTCGTTTTATGTTAGGTTATAATGGAAACATTTCTTTCCTCTAGTTTCATTGTGAATACTTGCGCGTAGAATTATGAATTCAAAACGCAATATTCTCTAATTCTGTAATTCAACGTATTTTCAATCCCAATTCAATTGAGTCTAGCTAGCCTCCTCAGCGCAGTTATATTGAGCTCATTGCTTTGGTCTCTAATGTGATGGAGGCATACTAATTGTTTTAGTAACTATGCCCCAGGCTGTGCTGAAGTCAGAATTGGAATTTGTTCAGCTGTTACACTCCTTCTGTTAGTCTGTAAAGACACACTGCCTCAGCTACTACTTTACCTTCTGCTGACAACGAAAACAATACTATTAGCAACAGAAACTAATGAAGATTGCCATTTTACTGATATTGACTCCTGGCCTGTTGCTTCATGGACCAGCTATATCAAAATCATAAGCACAAGTGCTAAACACATTTATGCCCAAAAGGGAAGAATAAGAAATGAGTTCTAAGCCAGGTATCGATGGCTCCTGCCTGTAATAGTAGCTACTCAGGAGGCTGAGATCTGAGGACTGCAGTTCAAAGCCAGCCTGAGGAAGGAAAGTCCATGAAATTCTTATCTCCAATAAACAACCAGAAAACTGGAAGTGGTGCCATGGCTCAGGTGGTGGAGCACTATCCTTGAGCTGAAGATCTGAGGTACAGCATCCAGGTCCAGAGTTCAAGCCCCAGGACCGACCCCCGCCCACAAAATGAGTTCTAAAAACATCATAGTATTTAATCTTCTCAACCAGAGTGCTCTTTACTTGATTTCAATAAGTGAATGTTTTACACATTCTTAGCTTTAAGTTATACTGTAAGTTCTTTTCTTACAGAGCAGATACTGTTCATTTCAGCTTCAACAGTTTATGGATCTCTTTTCAGTTTAAAATAAAACTGCTTTGTACAAGTACTTAATAATTTTTAAAAAGGAATAACAAAAATCAATGGCCATAAATGGAGAGTTCCATCTGTGCCACTATTACTTTCTGCCAAGATTAATCTAAGAGGAGAAAAAGGAATCCTACCCCAAGAGATCTATCTAGCAAAATCAAACCTCATGATGAAGGTCATCTTTCTCCTTAGTGATCTATCACAGACTTCATTTAAGTGAAATGTATAAGATACATACATACATACACACATACATATGTGTATATATATATATATATACGTATATGGAATATATATTTCAATTTCTGGAGGAAAGTACAGGCTGGCTACACAGCTTTAACTCTTGGTAATGATAGTTAAATATTGTAGACTATGTGGAATCAGCAAGACAATAAGACAGTTGAGGAATAAATGATCCAAGTTAAGAAGTCATTCAGAAGATGAGGAATCAGACAAAGATACTGAGAGAGGGAAACCAATAAGAATAGAAATACAGAACCTGAAGACTTCACGTATTGGAAACTAAATGAGGAGAGAATCATGGGGAATGATTAACTGTCTCCAGTACTGCTGATGGTCAAGAAAATGGAAATTAGATCACTGGGAGTCATTGGTGATCAAACTGCATGTTGAAAATGAAATGAAAGAAAACAAAATCATTGTCTGCTTCATGAACACTCTTTCTAGTTTTGCTACAAATCTGAATTGGGAAATGGAAAAAAAATACATGATATATATTTTGACCCAACTCTCACTCAGGACTCATGATACATAACATAATATGTTCTTTTGAATGGAGAAGACAGGTTGATAAGGCTGCTTATTTCTAGCGTCAAATTTGTATCTGCTATATCTTGCACAGATAATGCAGAATTCCCTGGGCATGGCTCCCTTCCTCAGAGAAACTGTGATGAATTGGGCCTCTGACCTAAGTATTTCTTCAACTTTATTTCTTGTCAAGGGTTTGTTTTCCCCTCATAATTGAGCTTTGCTGATTCTTAGTATTCCTAAAATACTATTGTAAAAAGCTATGTAGAGCCTGGTGCTAGTGGGTCATGCCTGTAATCCTAGCTACTTAGGAGGCTGAGATCTTAGGATCATAGTTCAAAGCCAGTCCTGGTAGGAAAGTTCATGAGACTCTAATCTCCACTCACTTGAGTAGCTCAAGTGATTCAGTGCCATTCTTGAGAAACAGAGCTCAGGTATAGAACCCAGGCCCTGACTTAAAGCATTAGAACCAGTCTACAGGCACAAGCTGTAAATAGAGAAGAAATAATACTTTATTCAGTGTTTAGGGATGGGAAGTGAGGTTATCTTCAGCCTTAAGTACTTTGGACTCTTAGTAACCATCATAAACTCTGTGATATCTGTGATATCTGTATCAAATCTTTAGATTTTTTTTTTTTGTCGGTCGTGGGGCTTGAACTCTGGGCCTGGGCGCTGTCCCTCAGCTCTTCAGCTCAAGGCAAGCACTCTACCACTTGAGCTACAGCGCCACTTCCGGTTTTCTGGTGGTTTATTGCAGATAGGAGTCTCACGGTCTTTCCTGCCCGGGCTGGCTTTGAACCGCGATCCTCAGATCTCAGCCTCCTGAGTAGCTAGGATTACAGGTGTGAGCCACCAGCACCCAGCAAATCTTTAGATTTTTAACAAAGCATATTATTAAATATTGACCCTGAGTGATATTTTGGGGACAAGCTTTAAAATTTTTTGGTGTTAGTATTTTGATATTACCATTTTATAACATAAGTTTGAAGATAAGTATCCAATAAATTCTACGCCATTGTGTCATTGTGAATACGTATCGCTGAAGGGTAACAAGCATCATTATAAAAGCCTTAAAATGCAAGTTAAATTATTTAATGTATTCCAAAACATAGAAAATTCTAGTATATTGTCGAAATTCCTTAACTGTGTTAAGCCTTGTTTCTGCTGTCCACAGAACTATTTGAAAATCTTATATTTATTACATGCACATGAATGTATGTATGTACACCCTTGCTAAGTATAATGTCCTTTGCATGATGAAAATTACCATTATGCGATTTTAAGACCTGTTCTCCTCTGAGATAAGAATTATTATCTATATGCTTTAGGGAAATTCCTTTAAGGTATTTTTTTTTTTTTTGCTTCATTAGTGAAATTCCTTTAAGATTAGTTTTTGCATGTTGAGTTGCTTTTTGTTGTGTAGTCATAAAATCTGAGTTGGTTATCATTTTGAAAAGTAGCTTCTTTTCTGATATCATGATAACAACGTGAATATATTATGTATACATATATCTTTAGAAGGTTCTGTTTGGCTTCATATTATCTGGATATCAAGGAGATAGTTATAGCAACCGATTTTACAACAAAGGAGAAAACCTTAATTACTTATGTAAATACTGCATGAACTCTTCTCCCACCCCCATAGAAGCAGTCTTAACAACCGTGTTCTAAACACTGGTCAGAATACAGCCCAAGTATATATCCTTTCACGCTTGTTAGAGCATGAATTGTTTTCTTTTCTTTTTTCATAAATAAATGCTAAATTTTCATTAAAATATATTGGCTGTAAATTAAATGGTTTCTCTCTTTTAAACATTTTTTTATCATCTTTAAGTAGTTGGACAAGGGATGTACTATTGAACAACACAGTTTAGGAACACAATACATCTTGATCATTATCCTCCACTTCAACATTCTCACTCCTATTTTGCCCTTATTTTTCTTTATTTTGTGATCTATACAAGGAATTCTTGACTGAATTCTCTCCCTCACTCCCCCTTCTGAGTTATGAGCTACCATTGAATTACATTATTTTTAAGTTGATGTTATAGCTAAATAAAGTCTTATAACTTGGGATGAACAAATGAATTTTGCCTTGTGATAGTTGGGCATTTTAATGGTTAGAACCTGGAGTGTGATGGGCAGAAATGAGTCTTTCAAAGACACTCACATCCTTATCTCTAGCAACACAAAGAGGATTTAAGATTAGAACGTAAGGGAGGGGCAATGTTGCTGGCTTAGAGGGGAAATGTCTACAAGTTAAGATAAATGCAGAGGCTCATAGTGACCGTGGGAATCTACTTTGGTATCAGAAAACGTATTCATTCAAATTGCCAGTAGCAGATAACCACAATTTTATTAAATAGAAACAACACAAATATATTCTAGAAGACAGAAGACTAATCAGGGGCTCCTGTACCCCTTGTAGAGGCTCTTTCCTTTTCCAGAAAAGAACATTTCTCACATTTACTGCCTCTTTGTCCTTTTCTCCATCACCAAAGCTAGCCACCTGCATGTTCTTGAGTCTTTACTGTGGTTCACTGACCTCTGACCAACACTCTTGACTTTCTTCTTTACTTTTAAAGACAACTGTAATTCCACTATGCCCATAATCCAGGATAATAATCTTCCTATTTTAAGAAGAGGTGACAAGCGACCTTAGTTCCATCTGTAACCTGTAAGTAACCATGGACACCTAGCCTCCAAGATATGGGATGTCTAGACATCTGAGATGCACACTAATCCCATTCTCAATGCAGGAATAGTGACTGGAATATAATGGAAAACATCTTTTCTTTTTTCCCTAAAAATTATACTGGAAAGGCAGTAAAGAATTCCATTTCAGTAGAGATACTTTGCATCCTCCAGGGAGATGCTAGGAAGCTATAGCTAAATCTATTTCTATTAGACAATTGAATTTATGTTTGATAAAGTCCCTTTATAGAACTCCTCCACTTGCAAACATATTCTATGTGCAAAATATGCTCTTTGGGATATCCTAAACCCTTAGTGTATTGAAAATGAACAGAACATTTAGGAAAGCAAAAGGAAAGTAGTTGAAAACTAAATCTTCTTATCTTTTCCAGATAATTGTTTTTCCACTCTTAAAGGTGAAATAAATTAGAGGAAAAATTAACAAGTATTATCCTGTAAAATTTCTTTTCATTGTCTAAAATCTGACTTTATAAGATTAAAGACCTTACAAATACCTACTCACCTGTTTTTGTCTGCCACACCAGAGAGAGTGAGACATTTCTAGTCAAAAGTTCATGAACTGGCCTGTCAGATATTCTTGAAAATACATTCACAGGAAAGACATTCCACCCTTGTTCTATTCCATGAGACATTTTCCTAAGAGGAATTGAGGCTCTAGCAGTAGAATTCAACATTTTAACAATAATAGCCTCAATGTGTCATAGTTAAATATGAATTTCAGACACAGCACAAAGAGTTCCAATATAAGTATGTCTCATGCAATATTTGTAACCGTACTGGCAGTAATTTACTTTTTTATGTTAAGTTTAATTTCACAAGGTGTCTCATACATTACCTGTTAATCCAGAGAACATAATCACATCTTTTCTTTTCTTTTTCAATTTAATTTTTAAATTAGCAGAATAAATAAAGACATTGAGGGGAGACTTGGAGACTGAGCCTAGGAAGCCAGAGCCACTCTTCTGGAGTGCCCTCTAGTGGTCGTTTTAGTAGCTCCCCTTTCTTAAGTTACAAGGCCCTTGATTGCTAAAGGTAAACTCTAATTTATTAGTGGAAAGAGCAGTCCATATTTTCTCCTGTCAAGCACTTCATGCACAGGGCATATTGTTCTGTTCTTCATTTGGATGAAAAAAGAGGTTCCAGATGATCATCTGCTAGGATGGTGTGGGGACCAACCTTTTGGAGCACTCAGTCTATAGTGTACCCCAGGGCCAGCAAGTCTGTAGACAAGTTTTAGTAAAATGTTTATACATTGCTGAACTATGAGAAAGCTTCATTAGAGAAAAAAATATTTAGAGTATCCTTGGATGTTAGTAGTTTGTCTTTTAATGGCTGCTCAATGCATAAACAAATTCATTTGCATATGTAGATTTGCATAACTTTAATAGATTTTATATAGCTCATACTTATGCAAATGATGAAATAGAATCTCAGATAAATGAACTGAAATGACATTCTATCTTTCTACTCTTCCAGTTGATGCTTGATTCAACATGGGAGACTTAATAAGAGCCCAGACTGTGAAGCAAGGCTACTTGCATTTGGATCCTGGCTCAGTCCTTTCCAAGCTGTGAAAACTCTGGAGTAGTTGAAGTTCCTGTGCCTCAGTTTTCTCATTTATGAAAGAAGTTAACCATATGGGCCACCAGACTGAGCTGTGGAAACTGAATAATTTAACATGAAGACCTGAAAGCAGTAAATGATTGTCACAACACTCTAAGGAATTAGGGTATGAGAATTAGAAAAAATGGAGGATATAAGGGATTATGTAACTATACCTGCTCAAAAATGTCTTTTGGATAAAGGGTCTGACATCCAGAAGAAAATATGTTCATCTTTATGTTAATGTTTGTAGGATTTATCTATTTATGCATTTTTAAAAGCTTCCTCTCCGATAAAGCTCAGATGCTTAGCCTTTCTATTTCTTTAGTTAACATTATAAATATAAATATTATACAATTTATATAAACATAAATATAAAAACTATAAATGGTAATATCATGTATGAATAAATTGTGATTATTCTTACATATAGGGTTAGGCTTAAATATAACTAAACAGAGTGGAGCTATAACTCAGTGTTTGAGCACTTGTTTTGCATGCATAAGACCCTGGGTCTCATCCCAGGCAGCACACACGCACACACACACACACACACACACACACAAACATACACACACACACACACACACACACACCCTTACAGAGAAGCCTTTTGCTTGTTTATAGTAGCATTTTTTCCTATGTCATTATTTGTTTTGGTTACTTCTTGTTATTTACTTTTAAATTTAATTGTCAAAGTGATGCATAGATTATTTTTAAATGTGGTATAACTTTTCCCATTGGAAGATGACAATGTGTCATGACATGTGTTTCCTGGATGATGTTCATCCTAGACAACTCCACTGTTCAGTCTGTCATGGTAAAATGTGAGTAGGAGGTGACATCAAATCAAGTTTGAGAAGGGGCAGGAAATCTAGAGATATGGCCACAGTTTTTACCTACTAATTCCAGGAAATGCAAATTGAAAGTGTATTCAAATATACAGGAATACATAAGCGTTTTGAGAACAAATCCACTGGTTTTGGAAATCCTGCTTATTTGAATCTACTGCTGAACATCTTACAAATGTACACCCTAGTAAATGTATCACTGTGGTTGTTGTAATGATGTTGACCAAGAGATGTAACTATGCCGGAGGCACATATTTCATGATAGAGTGTGAAGTTATATTTGTTACGCTTAAAATCCAGCATCTACCTACCAAACTGACGAAGGTCCAAGCAGAGATTTGCTCCCTCCACTAAAGTGGTGTTCCGGCAGATGGTCCACAGATTGAAGTACATGTACACTGGCAGAGAGCTGAACGCCGTAACTCCCAGCCAGGCCAACATGAAAAGGTACGTCAGCATAATAAACTACAACAGAGAAAAAGAGAGGAAAAAATACATCATCTACTGAAAAGGAAGCATTCATTATTTAGCCTGTAAACTCAGTATATTAAGGTTTTAGAGTCCTGGCACATAAACAATAATTGCCACAGGATTCAGCCATTGTAACACCAGGGTTCGACAAATGTAATCCTTTAGGTGTAAAACCTGCTGGAATGTATCATTTTGGAAGAGGTTCTATAGCTAATAATGGATAAAACCATTTGTATTTTATACTTTTTAAATATGCTTTTATTGGACATATACTGTACAGAGGGGTTACAGTTACACAAGCAAGGTAATGAGTACATTTCCTATCAAGCATTATTGTCTCCTCCTTTTATTCGTGTATTTATTTTGTAGATCTCGCTTCAATTTTTTTAAAGTTTGGAAGATTGGAGCAAAATGTACTCATTATTTTGCCCATGTAATTGTAACCCCTCTGTACAGTATTTTCACAATAAAAAAATAAATAAAAATTTTAAAAAAGGAGAACTTCTATTGCCAAAACAAAGACATAATAGGTTGTCAGTCAATTTGTATTGCAGCTAAACCATTTCAAATCATAAATATGTAAGCTATTTAATCATGCCATTATTAGCTTTATTATTGGAGATTCTGAAATCATATTAGTAAATAATATGATTGTATACTTACATTCCTTTTTAATATTTTTGTGAATTTGAAAGCTCTTATTCTACAAATGTTAATTTCACTTTTAACATAAAACCTAGTAAATATCATGTTACTTTTAAAATCGGCTTTGTACCTTATTTCTGAAACCATTTAAAAATGTTTATAAAAGTTAATTAAAATAAGTTGATATTTCCTCAATAAAACTGGATAAGAGAATTGGGTTCAGGATAAATTCATTCAGGATAAATTTTAGGTTAAACATGGTAGAGATGCCATCTAATACGATATTTTGGTGCCTCTGTTAGTAGGTAGATGTAAGATAACAAATAGGAAAATCTCTACAATATAAATCTTTGACATTAAAAGCTGCAGCTACAGCTATTTGATGCTTCTGAATTTCAACAGCATTTTTCTAGAAGATTGAATAGAAGTATTCAGGCTTAAGTTCAGCAGTTCAAGTGTATATCACATTTTTAAATGACACTTTAATACATAATAAGTGCACCAAATCTAATTAAATACATTATTCAAACTTAATATTTTGCTGGTTAATCATGTCTAAATTTTATTCCTTGATTCAGATAAAATCTTGAGACAATTTAATAGTGGCCATAATGTCTACTAAAATAGAACTTTGAAAAATAGTGAAATTGGTTGAGTCATACTGACAAGGATTATCAGAATTAATGAAGACAAAGAATTCATGTACTTTTATGAAGAGGTTGTCTATAAAGCCAATAAGAATCAAAATCAAACTTGCTAAAAACTCAGAATCTAATTAAATATATGCTTTCTTTTCTTTATCTTTAAGTAGTTGTGCAATGGAGTTGCCATTCAACAAAGCAGTGTATAAATACCGTGCATCTTGACCAATGTCACCCCTTTCAATGTTCTCTTCCATCCCAATGGACCCTTTCCCTCACTTTTCTTAAGTTTTAGGTTCTGTTGTAAACTCTTTTACCATTTGAACCAAGCAGTTTTGTGCACAATTAATCGGTGTCATCCCTTCAACATGTTAACCCCCATTTGACTCTTATATTTCTCCATTGTGTAGTATATCCCCTGAAACCTTCATTGCGTTCTCCTGGCTTCCTCCTTGCTTCTACCACGCCTCTTGCTTTCATCCTCCCTCTTGTAAGTATCCATTTCCTAGTACTTATTTTGTTGGATTTTATCTTCATCTTCCTAAAGAATTATACTATTTGAGCTCTCCATACAGTCTCTTATACTTCAGTTAGCTCATTTGTAACTACTTAGGTACGAACCAATGTGTTTACTTGTAGATTTTTTACAGGCATACTCTAGCAACCACAAATGAGGGAAACCATGTGCTTTCTAATAAATGGTCTTATCTGATCTCAAACACAGCATCCACATTTTCTCTAGTATAAAATAATTGGGATGGGCTCACTAGACTTCCTCCATCTATTCTTATTTTTATACTTATCTCTTAACTATCATTTGGTGGACATATTTAAACCTTACACATACATAATGAAACAAAACTTGGCTTAAAAAATTAGAAAATAAAACTCGAATATAAAAATTATAACTATCTTTAAAAGGCCACTTGGCATTTTGATAGTATTATTAAAATTTATATTACTTTTAAAATGATTTCATCTTCTTTTGCAAATACATAGGATTGATACACTTCAATACCTAATGTAGATTTATGGTAAGGTTTCATTCATATAAATTAAGAACACTTTGTGTATATTTTAATGATTCATTCTATGTGGGAATGTAGCCAAGGGTGGGTCTTGAAACACACGTGAGCCATTGTTTAACCATTTGTTGTTATCTACTAGAAGAAAACCAACAATTTTTCCCATGGGTCTTTCTCCTCTCTCCTTCTTGGAAAGGTTCATTCATCAATGAGGCTCACTGAGTTGTGTGATGGAGGGCGGGGTCAGCTAAGAGTTGCTGTCTGCTCAACAACTTTCCTATCCTCTCATATCACATTTTTCAGAGTCCAGGCAAGGGAAGAAAGCTGTGGTAAGCCTCAAAACAGGGATGAACAGATTACCAATGGCAAAAGCATCACATCTAACAAAATAATTCATTCTGTTGTGCAAGTTATATTCCATAATTTGTGTTTTGTTTCGAATATGTAAGAGATAAAGATCTATTTTCGTTTGCATCTTTTCATCAGGACATGCACCTCGCTGTCCAAACAAAAATCTCTTGTCACCATTGTTCTTCAGTTTTTTTTTTTTCTTACTAAAAATAAATTTGTTGAGTGCCTACCATATGTTGGCCTTAACTGAATGTAATTGTGATAGATAGTTTATTTGACATGATATATAATTACAGTTTTAGTGTCATCTTGGATATTTGAATCAAGCTTAGAAATTTACTACAAAAATTTCAATAGAACTACAAGAGGCAAGGCTTCCATATACTTTGGGTGAAGACCATGTATTATTGTTCCTTGATTATGCAGCTAGAAAGACTCCATTGTGTTTTACTTGAATATAACTTGTAACAGGTAATTCTTTTCTTCATATAAACTCCCCTAAACGTATTTAGGATCGAAGAACATCACACATTCGCCAGTGAGTTGCTATGGAACCTTAGTAGGTGTGTGTGATTTGAAGGCAGCAACAATGATGAAAACAATCCAGCTGACTGACTCCAAATAAGCTCTGAGTGTAGGAATTAATTTCCTAACTGCTGGAATAAAAAACAACCACTCACTGAATTATTTTTGTAAGTTCCCTTTCTCAGGTATGAATATAAAAATGGTTTCCAAAAATCTTAGCCCAGAACCCTATATTTGACAATAACATATATTAGGTTTTGTTATATTTAAATAATTGTGCAAAGGAGTTACCCCACAGTATCTTCTCATTTGAAATGGATTGAAAGCTTATTGGTCTACTCAGGATTTTACTGTAAGAGCATCTTAACAAATATCTTCCTTTTTTTTTTTTTTTTTTGTCGGTCGTGGTGGGGCTTGAACTCTGGGATTGGGCGCTGTCCTGCGCTCTTCAGCTCCAGACGATCACTCTACCCCTTGGGCCACAGCGCCACTTCCGGTTTTCTAAGTGGTTGATTGGAGATAAGAATCTCACAGCCTTTCCTGCCTTGGCTTGCTTTGAACCATGATCCTCAGATCTCAGCCTCCTGAATAGCTAGGATTACAAGCGTGAGCCACGGGCGCTCAGCCTAACGTCTTTACATTTTTAACAAAAGCAAAAACAGCTCAGTTTAAAGATCCTCTGATCACCAATTTTTACTGACAGATGCTCACAGAAAGGAAGCTTCTCCTATGTATTCTCCAGTCAGGCAAGGAATTGGAAAGAAAGATTTTAGGCCTTTCCTGTGCCAATTACATCATTATTTGAAAACCTCTTAGGGTGATCTAATGGGCACCCCATAGTAAGTAAGAGCATCTGACTGAGGATGAGAAAGATCTCATACTTGGTGTGTGGCTTTCCTTTATCTTCACTTTCAGCTTCTACTGTATGGTACTTGCATTATTTTTACAAATGAGATGATAATCCAGAAAAACATGGTAATATTGTTCCACTAGCTAAAATAATGGATAATTGGGCTCCTGAACATAAGCCAATTTGTGGATCAAAGGTGGCACTATTAAAAAGTAGAGTTCTATTTGCTATGGAGATTAACATTGTTCAATGTTTAACCACATCTCTGGCCTAACGAAGTACAGTTTTAATATAATACATTGTATAATATTTGAATCAGGCTTGTTAGCATATTCATCACCTCAAATGTCAATCATTTTGTGGTGAGGTAATTTTAAATTCATTCTCAGTGCTTTTGATATGTACAATAGCCTGTGATTTACTCTGTTTACCAAATGGTATATGTGAGAACATGCAGCATTTTCCTTTGCACCTTTAATTCACCTCGCATCATGTTCTACAGGGCCATTCATGTTGTACCAAATACTTTTCATGTTTTTTCTTTTTAAAGGCTGAATAGTATTTAATCCAATCCAATTCAATCAGTCAGTAAAAGGAAAACAAAGCTGAGATTTTTCTTATCTATTCATCCATTGATGGCTACAGGTGAGCTGCATAATTTGGCTCCTGTATCTATACAATGATTGCAAACATTCTGGATAAATACACGGAAGTGAGATTGATGAATCTCTTAATGATTTTGTTTAGTTTTGTGGGAAATTCCATTCAAATTTCCCTAGTGGGCCTTCTAATAAGTTCAATATGGCTATTTTCCAACAGAACTATTTTGCTTAGCAGAAACTGAATTTAGATAAAGTCTCATGGAACATTTTTGCTTTTCTTTTCTTTTTAAATAAAAGTATTTTAGATACCCTTGATGTGATGAAAAAGACATTTATTAATGCTCAACATTCCTAG